AAATATAAAAATACCGTTTGATGTTAGGTTCAACGTATATCAACAATGCAAATATCTGCACATACTTTTAGGCGTTCAGTTTCAATTTGTTCACTGTACTTATACAGTCGACTCTTCATTACTGATGTACAGAAGAAAGAAATGAAAACATATTAGATTGGGGAACAAGAAATGCATTGTCCAAAGTCGATAAAATCGAAGAAATGATCGAAGTCGACCGGCATGTTAGCAGTCGTAACATCGCCCAGGAACTAATATTCGACCATAAAACGGCTTTAAACTATTTACACCAAGCTGGATTCAAAAAGAAGCTCGATGTTTGGGTACCATAACAATTAACAAGAAAAAAAAATAGGATGGATCGAATTTCCATCTGCCAAGCCATGACCAACCGGAATGATATAGACCCATTTCTTAAACGAATAGTGACTGGAGATGAGAAATGCATCACATACGATAACCCTGTGCGAAAACGATCGTGGTCAACGAACGGTGGCAAACCAGGACTAACGGCCAGGAAGATTCTGTTATGCATTTGGTGGGACTGGAAGGGGATTATTTATTAAGAGTTGCTTCCATATGGCCAAACGCTAAATTCTGATCTCAACTTTCAACAACTGAACAGTTTAAAGATTGCAATTGACCAAAATTGGCCAACGGGAGAAGTGTGGTGTTCCACCAGGACAACGCTAGGCTACAGATATCAACAGTGACACGCCAGAAACTTCGGGAGCATGGTTGGGAAGTTTTAAATGCATCCACCTAGGGAGTATCTAGGTATCTAGGGAGGATTGTGAAAATCGACTAATAGAGTTTTCTGCAAATATAGAGCAGGACTTCTATGAGAGGAGCATTATGAAATTACCTTTAAAATTACATCAAATCATACAACAAGACGATGCATATTTGGACACTCCGAAGTCCTGGGCATGATAACTCAAAAAATAATAATACCATCCTTTCCAAATTTAACCAGTTTTCTATACGTATGAACTAGAATACATGCAATCGGCCCAGATCTTCGGTTTGTGATCAAAAAAAGAAGTTTTTCAAAAATTAAATTTCATACGTCTCTCATTTTGTTAATTTGTGTGCGATGTTAATAATCCCATTTCATACCAGAGACATACATGTTCTCTTTAGAATACCGTTAATTTTTTTTTTGGATTTTTACGTCCCAGTGATCGGAAATCATGTTCGCATGTGGAAAAGAAGGACTAATAACTTTCACCTTCTTCATAATCAGTTTCGTCTGTTTAATTGGCCGTCATTTCATGTTAATATTTTGGCACATTTGAAAAATAAATCCATTATTTTTATATGAACTGAACATTATTATTATATGAACTTTAGAACTTTATTTAAACTGCTTCGGAATGTCCGATTTGGCCCAAATATGCCGAGATACCAATTTTTTATCATTAAAGAAATTTTGCAAGAAAAATGCAAAAAAATTATAATCTCTTGATGAAAAGTCCGGACTCTATGACGTATGCATTCAAACTTCCCAACCAAGCTCTCGAAGTTTCTGGCAAGTCAATGTAGATATGTGTCCTAGCGTTGTCCTGGTGCACGTCACCTCTCCTGTTGGCCAATTCTGGCTGTTTCTGGTCAATTTTAAATGGTCGAATTTTAGCTCCTGGGCGATGTTACGACTGCTAACATGCCGGTCAACTTCGATCCGATCCGACCGGCCTACCTGTGCGAGGTGCATCTTTAACATGAAAAATTCCTGAACGGAATCTACGAAACCAAAATCGCATATAATTGGCTGTTACAGTATCGAACCCTAAGCACCATTCACAATTTTTGCCGCTTGGCTTGCATTTTCGCCATTTTCATTCCATTTCATCCATTTTTAACACCCTGTAACTCACAACTGAATGCACCAAACAAACAACAGCAAAATAACACGTTTTTACTTGTTTACAACCAATTAGGCATTCGAGGCATGAGAGACTTGTCGGCAGAACTTCCTAATATACCCCAATATTTTTAAAAGCAAATGTCCCTCCAAATTTTGGGCATTTCCTAAGCCCTAGCAACATTTTCTGTTTGAGTGTTCGTAATTTAGTATTTCGAGGGTAATAAATTGATATAGCACCCAAATAAGTATACACAATTTTTGAACAAGTATCATTATCTGTTTTCTTGTTATTTATTAAGAAAATCAAACACCAATATAGTTTTTGTTACGGAGAGTTTTTACCCAAAATAAAGAAGCACACACATTTTATAGTTCGAATTTCCAAAAATAGCAAAAACCCTTTGCTATATCTATTCTACATATCATCGATGACCCTCATTTCAAATTTAAGAGTTCTAGCTCTACCGGTTTTAGTACTACTCGTACCATTCTTGTATGAATTTCCAAAAACCCAGCCTTATCTGACACTTTTGAATCAAGAGTGACTCTCACCCCAAATTTGAAGACTCTAGATTCAGCCGTTTCGTGTGGGCGTTGATGAATCGTTAAGTCAATCAGTCAGTCAATCAATCACTTTACTCTTTTATTAGTATAGATAAAATCCGATCTACCTTCCGAAAAATTAGTAAATATTACGTGGATTTTTTTTTTAATTTTTAGGAGCATGTCGTCACGCCCTCCCACACCTTTCGATAATCTTACATACTTTTTTGGTTGCCGTATCCCATGTATAAATCGATTTGTGAAATACCATGTGTCGCTTGAAGTGTCTTTCCGGAAATATTCAATTATTGTTTATTTTCACAAGACCCGAAAAGTTTTAATGTTACGTATCAGCTGGCAATAACGATTATCCTACAGTATATAAAATCACAATCGTCATATCTGTGATAATATAAAACGACGTAGACATTTATTATCATTCCGCATAAAATCGCCAATTTTGATACGAACTCCTATTCTTAGGAAATTGCAAAAAATGGCAATGCACTTCGAACACACAAATGAGAATCTTAAAAAAAAGAGTTTTTGTTTCATCAACAAAAATTGGTAATGTTTCTTAATTAAAATTGTGTCATTATCAATTTACAGCTGTGTAGTAGAGTGAATGGCCGAACAAAATAAAAAACACAAAAGATAAATTCCATCTTAGTGAAATATTTTCATATAAAAGGCCCTGAAGCGATCGCAAATAAATCAAACAATCTAATTGTGTGTAAAGAACAAAAACAACAACAAAACGAAAAGAAACCAAGTCAATACAAAATGTTGTCAAAATTATTCTTTAAAATATTCTTCATATGCGTGGCATTGTTTGCCTCTGTATTGTCGCAAGATTTAAATGATTTCATACCCAAAGTACGTCGTGAAAATTTTGCCAGAATGATTTCCAATGCAAAAGTTAGTCCTGACACTATGGGATTATGTTTCGATAATTACGATGCGGATTGGAAGGAAGCCAAGACGACATATAGCAAGAACTACAGGGAGTGTCTTGATAAGGAGGCCAATGCTAAAGAAGCCATCGATCAAGAAGTAGAACCTGACGTACAAGCTGTTTTAAAGCAACAACAACAAATTAACAATGGCTATGGAAATTGTAATGAAGGTGGCGATAAATATAATTTCTTTGCGTGTTCCAACAATGCGGTAAGTTTGCGCCGCTACTCTTAATAATTATAATAAGATATTTATTAAATTTTCCTAATAATTCCCCTCAGTCTTCTGATGCCCTGAAAACATCTCGTGACATTCAAGCAACTTGCAAAGATAAAATGCAATATATTACCATGCGTAGGGATATGGTCAAATATGATCGAGAGGGTTGTACAACCAAATGCAACGAGGACCATAATAATGAGTTGCTAATTGTGCAACAGACATTAACCGATTGTTTGAATGGTATAATTGAACCTCGTCCACCCACACAACCGCCTACAACGACAACTGCAAAACCAAATACAAGACCACCAACAAATCCTACATATCCAACTACAGAAGCAACCACAACAACAACTGATGATGATGACAAGGAGTAATTTTAATTGCCTTGAAATATTTCATGACATACGAACTTGAACTTGGTATTTTCCTATTTCCTATTCCTATTTTTACATATTATATAACTATTTACCATATAACATATATTCAGAATGTAAATGCAAACACTATACAAAAAAATATATCATATTACATCAAAGTGATTAACAAATCAATCGATCGCGGTAATTATTTCGAAATCGAATACTGATAGGCCTCGAAAAAATATACATTAAAAAATACACGCCTACCATAGACCTCGAAAAAATATACGTTAAAAAATACACGATGGTAGGCGATACGAAACTGATAGGCCTCGAATATTCTCGAATATTCGTCAAAAAATCCACGCCTTATAAAGGCCTCAAAAAATATTCGTCAAAAAATCCACGCCTTATAAAGGCCTCAAAAAAATATTCGTAAAAAAATCCACGCCTTGTAAAGGCCTCAAAAAAATATTCGTAAAAAAATCCACGCCTTACAAAGGCCTCAAAAAATATTCTTTAAAAATCCACCCCTTTTAAAGGCCTCAAAAAATATTCTTTAAAAATCCACCCCTTTTAAAGGCCTCAAAAAATATTCTTTAAAAATCCACCCCTTTTAAAGGCCTCAAATTAAATATTCTTTGAAAAATCCACGCCTTATAAAGGCCTCAAATTAAAGATTCTTTAACAAATCCACGCCTTATAAAGGCCTCAAAAAAATATTCTTTAAAAAATCCACGCCCTATAAAGGCCTCAAAACAATATTCTTTAAAAAATCCAGGCCTTATAAAGGCCTCAAAAAATATTCTTTAAAAAATCCACGCCTTATAAGGGCCTCAAAAAAAATTTTCTTTAAAAAATCCACGTCTATGATAGTCATCAAAAAAATATTCTTTAAAAATCCACGCCTATGATAAATCTACGCCTAATCCTTTAATATATCCTCGATCCGGATTAGAACTTAAAAAGCACAGCGATTTATAGCCGAGGATATACATTATTAATGTTCATTTATACATTTATTTATTTACTTATTTTTTTTAATTTTTTTAGTACTCGGTTGCTGATTCCTCAGTTTCCTTACCAGCCAAACAATCCTGCAATTTGGCATGTACGCTGGCCGTATCCTTGGCATATACATCAGATGCCTTGGCTGCGCAAACATTTTGATTGTACTGTATTGTCTCATATTTCAATTTGATATATTGAACGCGATCTTGGGATAGAGTTTGAATGCTATATGCCTGAGATGTTGCTCTGCCAGCCTAAATTAAAAAAATATATAAAAAATTAATTTATAATAAACGTGGAGTGACCCCAACTTACCGCATCATTGCTACATTCAAAATAGGCCGAAGGATCGTCTCCAAATTCACAATTAGCAAAAGCAGAGCAAATTTGATCAACAGAATTATTGAGCGAATCTGCAGCATGAGCTACTGCTTGTCTTACATCATCCTTTGAATTGATACTTTTCTCTAAACATGTCTGATATTGCGATTCATATTCATTTGTTATGTCATTTAGCTTTGGCAAATAAACCGAAAAACATTGAGCACTCTTCGCAGGATCGTATTGAATCGATGCCACCGAGCTTAAAATCGTATTGGCCAAATTGTAGTCGTCCTGGGCCACAGCAATGGCTAATATGCCAAATATGAACAAATTCAAAAAACTATTCTTGAACATTGCGTCAAGTCTGGTAGCAGCAGGTTTGTTGAGATACCTGTTGATCCGTTGGTTATTCGGACTTATATAGAAAACTGTTTATTGACAATTAGTTTTCAATATTAATTGTATGACTTAATGGGCATCTGGAAAAAAAAACAATTGTTTAAGTGACGTTCAATATTTGAAATAGTTAATTAATTAGACAAAATGTCTGCTAATATTTAAATAAGAATTAACGGCCTATTGCAGTAGGGGAGGGGAGCACTAGGTGTCTTTAAAATATCCACGCATATGGCTGTTCGAAAAAATATTCCTTAAAAAATCCACGCTTGTGGCTCTTTGAAAAATATCCTCCCCAAAGCCCACGCTTGGCTCTTTAAAAAAGTATATTATTTAGAAATTCCACGCTTATGACTATATTCTTATAGTCATAAGCGTTCATTAATATATCCACGCTTATGACTATATTCTTATAGCCATAAGCATTCTTTAAAAAACCACGCTTATGGCTATATTCATATAGCCAAATATATTCTTAAGAAATCTACGTCTATCACCGCGATAATGCCCCAAAAAATATTCTTAACAAAATCTATTAACATATCTCCAAAGGTGCCTTTGATAAATATATACGTGTATAGCTGTCATAATCCCTTCAAAAGTATTAAAAATCCAAGCCAAAAATATTCACGCCTCCGATAGTTCCCCAAAAAATTATTTTTAATAAATCCACGCCTATCAGAGCTGTAGTCCCTCCAAAATAAGCTAAAAAAGTAAAAAAAAATGTTGAAATATGGTAGGCTTCGAAAAATATGATATAAAATATCCTCGCCTTTGATAGGTTTCGAAAAAATATGATTTAAAATATCCACGCCTATGATGGGCTTCGAAAAAATATTATTTAAAAAATCCTCGTCTATGATAGGCTTCGGAAAAATATTCTTTAAAAATCCACGCCATTGATAGGCTTCGAAAAAATGTGATTTCAAATATCCTCTCTTTAAAATATCCTTGCATATGACTGGCTTCGAAAAAATGCTATTTTAAATATCCTCGCCTATATAGGCTTCAAAAAAATATGATTTCAAATATCTTCTCCTTAAAATATCCTTGCCTATGATAGACTTCGAAAAAATACTATTTTAAATATCCTCGCCTATGATAGGCTTCGAAAAAATATTCTTTAAAAAATCCACGCCTATGAGAGGCTTTGAAAAAATATTCTTTAAAAAATTCAAAACAGCCAAAAATATGTTGAAATAACCAAGTGCTAAATAGTCCCTACAAAAATATTCTCAAAACATTTAAAGTCATATAACCATATGTAGAACCTCAGGGTATACATATACCGACTAAGCCAACTCAATTTTCATTCGGAATACTTGTTTTGTGTACATAGAAAATAAAGATAATTTTTCATTTATTTTTCATCTAATTAATTTATTCGCGGAAGCTATAACAATGACATTATGTACGCAGATGTTTATCTATTTTTCGTAAGAGGGTTTTGCTCTTAACCACAATTAATGTCAGTATTAAGTAATCAAAACGTACAACAAACGGATGCCTCCAAGCAAACCCCAGAACTCTCCTCCAGATACTGGGAAAGGCCAAAACCGGGAACAAAAAATGTCCATCATTTAATACGAAGCGAACACACAACCAACAACAAGTCAATGAAGACCTGCTACGATAATCCTACAATAGAGGGAGTTCAAGGGGGACAATATCTGCTGCAGTTTGATTCACCAAAGGTTTATGGGGAAGAGAACATTTCTTTAGGGGGTGAAAGACCTTGAGAAGTATAATAAGAACCCAAAGGGAAAAATTACCCAGAGATAAATTTTTTAGGAATGAGGATTTTTTATCCATAGGTAACCTTCGGGGAAAATGTATACTTCCTGAGATATGAGGTTCCAACGTTACAAAATGTCCCTACTTAGTGCTACGCGACATAATATCCTTAATATCCTTTTAAGGGAACCCCCCCATTCTCGATTTTAATTTTTCAAAATTTTCAATGGGCTGGTAAATGAATACAAATGCTTGTTAAGGTTTGTAACTTTGCACATATATAATTGAAGATTTAAAAGAGAAGAAAAATAATATACAAAAAAATTTTGTTATTGTTTTGTTGTTGTTTTTTGTAATTAAAGAAAAGTCCTTATTTTTGATGGCGGGCATGATAACTCCTCACTGGAACATCGGAATCCGAAAATTCCAACGGTGTTAGAAAGAGTACATGTCTGGCTCTCGTATGAACTAGGATTATTGACTTTGCTCTAAAATTAACAAAATGGTGGACCTTTGGAAAAATATTTTTGGAAAATCGCCGATTTTTTACCAAAAACCAAGTTAAAAAATAAGGAAGATCTTCACCGATTAGCTTTATCCTAGTTCATACGAGAGCTATACACTCCCAGAGAAACGTTGCAAAATTTGGAAGTTTGAGTTATCGTACCCGCCATTCGCAAAAAAATGTTTAGAGAAAAACGCGTTTAAAGTTTGAGAAGCCCTTCAGCCGTCACTCGATGCTGACACAATAAATCGGCTATATCTTCAAGAGTTCTTGAGATTTTCACTTGAAATTTTGTAGAGACATTCTTTAATCAGTGTAGATTCGAATTATATGAACAAAAATTTTGACCCCGAGAATGGGGGGGTCCCCTTAAACAAATAAATATTATACAAAAATGCCGCTCCTAAGATTATAGATAGGGTGCCCAAAATTTCGAATATTTGGGGAACGTGAAACATTAAGCTACATTGATATTAAATTCCAACGCTTATTAGTATTGGCAGGATTTGAGATTTCCATACTTAGATGCCGCTCCATTTTCGGTTCTAGCCTAAATGTCTGTATGTTGGTATTCTTTGGTTTCTTTTCTTCTGATATGCAATTTACAATGTTTGGTACATATTTTGACATAGTCCTCATATAAGGATCCCGACCCATTGCTTAAATTCCGGCTGAGGCTCCGTCCAAATAAAAATATATACTCAAACAAGAATCCGCTAAACGTTTTTATAATATTGATTTTTTTTTCAATTCACCAAAGCAACAATTTTCGTTTTTAAAACGTTAACGTTATTACATCAATTAAAATAGTTTACAACACTGCAGTTGTATTGGGAACGGACTCCGTAGTAGATGTCGATGATGAAGACTCCTCCGGCTGTTTGCCAGCCAAACAAGCTTCTAGTTCAGCGTGAACTTTTGTTGAATCCCTTACATATGTTTCCGAAGCTTTAGCTGTGCAAATGTTTTGAGTATACTGTATCGTCTCGTATTTCAATGTTATATACTGCATACGATCCTGGGAGAGTGTCTGAATGCTATACGCCTTGGAAATTGCCTTGCCAGCCTTGGGATACATAAAATAAAAAATATACATTTAAAAACGACATTCAAATATTTGACTAGTAAATATTAATATAAATACATAATATACATTATCGAATATAAATATATTATCGGATTCTCCGACGAATATAGGGTATACTAAACGACACTTACCACATCATTACTGCACTCAAAATAACCATAGGGATCCGCATCGAAAACACATCCTGAAAATCCATTGCAAATTTCTTCACGGGTACTATTTATAGCAGCCGCTGCCGGTTCCACTTCTTTGCGTACAGCCTCCTTGGCATCTTCAGTATTGTGTAAACATTCCTGATATTGTTCTTCATACTGAGCTGTTAGATTATTTAATTTCGGTAAATATACCGCAAAACATTGTGCACTTTTTGCAGGATCATATTGAATTGAGGAGGTTGATCTCAATATTGTATTAGACAAATTTAATTCAACTTGTGATTTTTCTGCAACACTAATGGCGAATAGCGAACAGACACCGAGAAAAGTAAACGTTATCAAATCGATATTAGACATTGTGGTTAAATCACGGGCTTTTTACCGATTGCTACATTTGATACCAGCAACGATTGTTTTTATACTCAAATGTAATTTTGAAGTAGTTATTATCGTTCTCTAAAAAAATAAAAAAAATGATGTGATTTGATAAAAATAGCAAATACTTGAAATAAATGTGATTTCTTCGAAAACAAATGTAGGATTTTTTCTTTGGAGTGCACGAAAATAGTCAATGTAACTTAAGATAATTACACTGTGGTAGGTCACTAAGCTAATATTTATATTCTAAGCGTTCAGGAAAAGTTTGAAAATGTGTATGCAACTAGAACAAGTATTTATAAAAAATGATGAAAAACTTATAATATGACTATGTATGATTTTTAAACGATGTCAATAAGAAAATTCTTTCATTTTCCAAAAATTGACTATTTTAATGGTCAATATGTAGATATTATACAGATTTTTCTTCGAGTCTTATTTTATGGTTGTCTACGTTAACAACAGTTAGTCAAAATGATATTCCAATAATAAAAGGGGAATTAATTTTGAAAATTTTACCCTTCAGTCAACATTTAACACTTTACGAATAAAATTGCTCTTCAATTCTCTCTCCACTACACGCCGTCACTAACCTCCTACGACATTTAGCAAAGGCACAAACCATTTTGTTATAATATTATACATTTCATAAATAGTTTGAGGAGCATTGATTAATATAAATAAATGTGGAGAGATTTGTATCTACGGCTTGTATTTATAATGGAGACATATGTATGTAATAAGACAGATACAGTCCTCAGCAATTTTACAACAAAAACAAGTAAAAAAACGTTAATTTCGGCCAGATCGAACTTTTTAGATGTGGATTAACATGTCTATAAAATTTAGCTCTAGATCGTCTGCCAGGAGGATTATATAAAAAATTACAAAATTTTTCAGGTTGAAAAAATCCTTGTACATACCTAAAACGAGGGCGGACCTTTAAGATGGGCTTATGTCAAAGGCCTTTATATAAGCCAAGACCTACATCGTCTCAACGGAGGATGTACCAAAAGTGGACTGACTGATTAAAATGGTAGAAGTATTACCAAACTAATTGAGCATTTTTATTAGAGCTACAACTTTCCTCCGGTTGCTGGGATATGCTCGCGGGGTTAGGATATATTAGTGTGTGCAACTACAAATAAAACATTGAATAAAGAAATTGCTGGTTGTGACGATTTGAATCAGGAGCTCACGAGGGCTCTAATAATATCCCTATAAAAAATTAATAAGGCTAAACCCAATCGAAAGCTATAACGAAATTAATATAACTGTTTTAGATTGATTATCATTTAAATATGGATTTTAATATATTTTCTTTCAATATATATGTATATATATATATATATAATCTAGATAAGATCCGTATATACTAATTTAAAGGAGAGAACTGTATAATAGTCCCATTTGTAAATGAATTACAATGCCATATTTGAATGGATACAGTTATTTGGATACGATTATTGATGTACGAATACTTTTTTGATTATTGACCGTAGGGTTAAATGAATGCCCACAACGGCTCTTGATTTCGATTCGGTTATAATCACTTTTCTTTCGATTGAAATCACATTAAAATAAAATCCACGTCGGCTCTTTATTTAGGTTTGGTTAAAACCAATCTTCTATGAATAAAGTCTCATGACGGTTCTTTATTCCGATAGAGATCTCTTTTTAAATGAAATCCACGAAGGTTTTTTATTTCGATTCGGGTAAAAACACTTTTAAATCACTTTTTAAACTACTTGTGTACTCACCTTTTCTTCTCTTTTTTCGCGAATAACTCTCCGATATTTATCGTAACGTTCTCAGTCGCATACTTAGCAGGTTTACTGTACTTCGCTCACTCCTCTGGACTCTAACTTGTCTCTTCCCTTTATAACGCCGGACGCAGATTTCGGGATGCTTTCAGTCACTTTCCGGGGGTCGAGCCTCTACTGCCGCACCGACCACGTAACGGGAACATGTTTGCATCTTCATTAGAATTTAATTCTCAACTAGACATTTTGGACACAACTGTACTAATACATCTTGCCCAACGTATTGAATAAAACCATGTATAATAGTACAGAAACTATTTTAGAGAGTTGATATTTAAAAATATTTTCAAACCAATAATGAAAATACTATAATCGGACATACAGACTATTTGTCTGTTCATTGTTTGTCAGTTTTGTGGAATCAGTTGCAAAACTTGTTAAAATAGTATATTCTTTAGTGTAGGGAACGGAACTACTCTACATTGGGTATATTAAGAGTTGTAGTTTAGCTGGGAGTAATTTCTAAACTCAATACTGTAGCACATGTAATATTTCAGATATTTTGGCCGATGTTTCCAATCTAAGGGTTCTTGGAAGTCTTGGAAAATTCCCTGTCGTAAGTATGGATTCTAATTGGGTATAAAATCTCACTAACAAAAATTATCAATGTCGGTAACCGTTATGGTATCGCCCCATATTTTGGTAAGCCCCTCTATTCAGTATTTTGAGAAGGCAAATAGTTCCAACCTTATTCCTCATTTGCGGTATGTTCAAGGTCAAAGACACTCAGGTTAGTCTGTAGTTTCCCCGGCCGAACTCAACGTCGTTTTGACTTGTATTTAATTTTAAATTACAAATTTATTTTTGATTCGAATAAACCATGAGTTGTACCAGCTATTCTCGGACATCGGCATTGTTAGACGTATTGAGGTGCAGCGACTACGTTGGTTAGGTCATGTTGTGAGAATGGATGAAGATGCCCCAGACCAAAAGGCATATAAAAGCGAAACACCAGATGGCTCACCAAGAAGGGGAAGGCCACGAATAAAATGGAAAAATTAAGTGAAAGACGAATTGGAAAAACTGCGCAAAAGACCGACGCGCCTGGAAATATTTTTTAAGCTCGGCTTATTGAAACTGTAATGACTATATAATAACCTTATAACTATATGATAACCTACACTCATTAGATATATTCAGAATTCACAATAATAATACTACTTCTTTTGGTACCTCCATCACTGGTGGTCAACATTTCTAACATTTGTAAATTAATTGTAAATATATTAATGTACTTGACAATCCGAATTTCCTCATCTTAGTACTTTTAATAAGATTGGATCAAATCTAATGATGTAACCTAACCTATTTTCCTCCTGTGATACCTCAGGAGGTACAAATCCTTTTTTTCAATAAAAATAAAAAGAATTGAGATACTTAAAAATAAAGATTTTTATTTTTGAGCATAAAAGGTTAGTACGGCAATATTAAACTTAATTTAGCATTGAATGGTATTACATTTTCCATTAATTAATGAATTTATTTTATTATTCATCGTTTCATCGTATAATGTTTCACAGTCATTTAGTGTGATAGAATTCCATACTTCACTATTTGAGATTTATTTCATAACCTCCTTTTCATTATAGCCCATGCATTTTCAATTGGATTTATAAAGACACTTCCACTTACATTTGGATTTATAAAGTCCATTATGGTTGCATCAATCTTAACGAATAGCATTTTAATAATAATCTAATTATTTATAAATTTAAATGATTTAGCTCTGTTCCAAAGTCGGAAAGTATATTCTATTATTATTATTACTATTATATTTATTATTAATTTCAAAGCCAATCTAAAAGGGATTATGTGGCCTTCATAAATTCAAAAAGATTTTGTGTGCGGAACAATCTAATAAACGGAAGTAAATATCGATTGATAAATCCCTACTTTACCGAGAAGAATGAAAACATTTTTTCATATTTATATATTTTTTAATAGCAAATATAAAAAATATAATTGTTTACAAAATTAAAGAGGTACTAATGACGTATTTCCATAGTCCATCATAAATTTATTAATCTTTTACCATTGTTGCTTTGGCAACAGTTGAACCATATCACCCATTGAACACGAACAAAATATTTGAAGCTAACTCACACAGTTCCCTCCAATGAACAGTTCAATTGAATTAGGTCCATACGAACGACACAGCTCTTATAGATGATGATAAATATAATAGAAAAATAATATAATAAAACATCAAATACTTGAAAAATGAATAAAATATGAAATAAAGTGATATATATTTCCTATTTCCAAATCCCAAAGTGTATTAGATTGTTTGTATCGTCGATATTTTAGAGGTGAAAAATCCCTTTTTGTAGGGCATTGAATAGCAGCAAGTGAAAAAAAATATCACCACCAACAACACCAATCAATGCATCTGAAAATAGCCACTTTGCTGCTTGCTAACACAAATCAATCTTTTGCACAGTAGACACTGTAGGGCCCAGTGTTTGCTGCTAGTTGCCAAAATATCAAAAAATGTCGGAAAAATCGGATCACATAACATTGACACTCAATGAATCGTCCTCATCATCGTCATCAGCTGGGCTTTCCGGAAGTCGTAACAAAAGTCTCAGGCGTGTAAGTTTTTTTGATGTTATTTTCTGTGTTGTTGTTGTACTAATTAAACCCTTTTTATTTTCCCCTAATTTCGTATTTCAAAATTTGTATAGTCATGGAATCAATTGCCACGATGTCAACGAAATCTAATCATTTTAATTATTGCGGCCATGTGTATAAGTTTTGTATTCCTACTGCCATCAGATTTAGTAGCAAAGAATGGTGTAAATTTGGATACAAATGGTTTACCCTTCACAGGCCAAGCTGCCGTTAGACGAAATAATTTAGGAGAGGGTCACAGCGACGATAAAGTAATTTCTTCACAAGGCAATGCAGGTGATTTATCGCACACTAATTTGGAGGTAAGTGTAAATAAATGATTGTTTCACAGTATTTTCGTTATCTTGGGCACGCTTATGTGTTTGCTTTGCTTGGTTCCAATAAACCGATAAATACCGTGACATTAGTTAAATCTATAACCATGTCTAGTTATGATAAGAGGGTGCTTTGATTTGTTAAGTATTTGGTTTAATATATGTTTTCTAGTTGATAAGATTACTTGTAAATTGTTGTGGTAGGGAAGTTATTGACACCTTAACCCTCGAAGAATAATGTGTGTCATGCTCAAGCTCTAAAACATTAACCTGATTCAGGGAACATATCATTTCTACATGTTAACTATTCTTACGCATGGAAATATTAAAACCGCTATAAGCAAATACAGATGTTTTTGGTCAGCATTTAAAAAATCCAGTTGGCGACCTTGGAGAGAAGGACGCGCATAAAGAGCTAGATCGATTTGTCTAGCCGTAATGTAGGTTTTTTATAAGTAGAAACTACCTATTTGATTAATATTAATACAAAAGTTGTGAACATCTTGGAGTCACAGTTCGCAAAACTTAATCATTTTAATGCAAAACTTGTTAAAAAATTGGAGCTCTTAAGGAAATTCGTGATGTGTATAATGAAACCCGTCGCGCAAGACATTTTTGTTGAAAGTGTTGAGAAATAACCAGGTTTCTTCACTACACGTCATACTTTCGAATTGGGTATTCTCCAAATATCATTACTTGATATTTTACTTGTGTCTCATATACTTTAAAGACCTGAAGAACTCAACATTCTATATTCGCTGATTCTTTGAAATCCACGAATTCCAGAATTCTATCAAAGAAGCATATTGGATGATACTACGCAGATAGGTTTGGGCCTTAACACAGTGACTGAAATCGAATAACGTCATTATTTAATTGTTTGAATCAACATTATCCAAACTTCCAATAAAATAATCATCTTGGATGACGACGAGCATTTTCGTCTCAATGTCTTTGTCAACAAGCTAAATTGGGAACAAGTCTAGTGTAGGACCCCCTCCCGGATAGTTTTGAAAATTTTTACCACATGTAGTCTTTGGGGCCCTGATTATAACAGTATATTTTTTTCTTGTGGAAATCGGTATTTCCGGAGATATGGGCCTCCAAAGTTCCGTGTGGTCCCTTGTATTTTCTCATAAATTTTTAAAATCCACTAAGGCAATATGGATATCATTTTAAAGCATTTAATGCCCTGATTACAAAAATATAATATTCATATCAAATAAGTTCATACTTTCTGAGATATGGGTCTCAAAAATTCCGCGCGATCCTTCAGAAAAACAATATGTATATGTGTATTAAATGCGGCTGGAACACAAGTTGCAAAAATGTAACTACGGCTACGCGACAGAATCTCCTTTTAATTAGAATAGTGTTTGTGGGTGAACGGCCTTCGGCCGGGGATTTAAGACTTTCTCCTATGGACAGATGGCAACACCGGCTACGCGATAGAACCTCCTTTTAATTAGAATAGTGTTTGTGGGTAGCGGGCCTTCGGCCGGGGATTTAAAACTTTCTCCTATGGGCAGATAGCTAATCTGGCTACGCGACAAAATTTTCTCTTAATAAACATTGTATTAAATTATGAGAAAATACAAGGGTCCCAACAGAACATTGGAGGTCCATATCTCCGGAAATACCGATTTCGGCAAGAAAAAAAGTATACTCCTGTATTCAGGGCTCCAAGAACTACATATGGTAAAAATTTCAAAATGATCTGTGAGGGGGCCCTAAACTAGACTTATGCCCTAAATTGCATCATATGAAGTTCGATACACTCAATATGTATGGTTGACAAGCTTTTTATCCATATTGGACCTGACAACTACGACTCAAGACTTCAAATATAAAAAAGTCATTGGGCTATCAGGGATATTTTGCAGTCGCTTTACGATTTAGTTATAACAATTTCATGAAAAGCATTTTATGCTGTTGATATTGTGTTTAGTATTAATTACACACATTCAACTTTATGACGGTATAGAGTGAGGTCAGAAAAGCAATTAATCGGTTGAAGAACAATAAAGCAGCAGGAGCCGCTGGGTTACTAGCCAAACTAGACTGGTGATCAGATGCTGGTCAGGAGCATGTACCAGCTGGTTAGTACAATTTCGCTAAAGGAATGTATGCCCAATGATTGAAACCTCAGCTTCCTGTGTCCCGTGCACAAAAAAAGGAGACACGATGATGATATGTGTCAACTATAGAGGAATTTGTCTCCTTCCCATCGCATAGAAAATGTTATCCAGTGTACTGTGTGAACGACTGAAGCAAATGGTCAATGACATTATTGGACCATACTATTGCGGCTTCAGACCTGGCAAATCAACCATTGACACATCAACATCGACACATTGCACCTATTTGTCGACTATAAAGCCGCATTCGACAGCCTTATCCGTTATTAAAGCCATGTCTGCGTTCGGCATTCCTGCAAAATTAATACCACTCTGCAGTATAACTTTAAGTAGCACAAGGCCAAAAGTTAAAGTCGGAAAGGACCTATCGGAGGCCTTCAATACCAAAACGAGGATTTAAATAGTTTGTCGTGTGATCTTTTTAACATCTTCTGGAAACGGTCATACGAGACGCAAATGTGAACAGAAATGGCACTCTGTACACCAAACAACACATGTTACTCGCATTCGACGATGATATCGATATAATGGGTCGAACATCGTTAGAGGTAACAGCCACCTTTGAACAAATTGAGAAGGAGTCTGCCAAAGTGGATCTGTGGAACTTGAGAATTGCAGCTTCGAGGTAGTCAAAGATTTTATATAACTTGGTACCGCCATAAATAAAACTAATGACATCAGTTTTGAAATTCGGAGAAGGATAGTGTTGACCAACAGATCCTACTTAGACCACTAAGTAAGCAACTCAAAAGCAAGGACACCTCCCGCCAGACCAAACTCACACTCTACATGACGCTGATACTACCCGTGCTGTTATATGAATCTGAAGTATCTGTTAGACGTATTGAGCTTGCAGCGACTACGTTGACTAGGTCATGTTGTGAGAATAGATGAAGATGCCCCAGCCCAAAAGGCATATAAAAGCGAACCAGCTGAAGGTTCACCCAGAAGGGGAAGGTCACGAATAAGATGGAAAGATCAAGAGGAAGACAACATTGCCGAATATGATCTTTGAAATTGGAAAAACTGTGCAAAAGACCGACGCGCCTGGAAATCATTTTTAAGCTCGGCTTATGGATCGATCGTTCCGATCGTTTATCTCATTTCTTGTATATACTCCAAGTTTACATTATCCCTTAAGAATAAGAGTTATGTTTAGCCTTATGTAAAAATATATATCTTTTATAAAAAACGTTAAACTTTCCACTGACCCTAGAATCGATAGCAGGTACAAACGTTCTTATTAAATTTTAAATATAGTTCAAATGGATTAGTTATTTCAAAAAATAGACTCCCATTTTAAATATCCGATAGGTAGTATTGATAACTTTATTTATATCTAAAGCATCTAAGTAACAATATAAATGTCGGAAGATAATGAAAACACATTATTTCAAAACGGCGACAAAATATCAAAACTTATTGTCCACATTTGGTACTTACAATAATATAAAAGATAACAATCTCATGAATGAAAACAATGATTCTGTTTTTAAAAATCTTTTCCAAAAATGTTATCACTAATAGCCTTGTATAGTTTTACGACTTGCTTCAAACACTATAAAGCAAAATATCGGTGTGGGAAATATGTTTTGGGAAGAAAGACTTCTGGCGAAAGTAGACGAGTTTGTTATTTCTCACTTTTCTCATATTCGCTTGAAATAAATACCAAAAATAAATTTTAAGCATTAAAAATTGTATAATACTAAGTTTTTTATTTATTTTTTTAATAAACAAATTTGGAAAATAATAAATCTCACATAATAATTTCCGCTTCTTGCATTAGGAAAGCAAATTTCAAACACAAATTATTATTTAATCGAAAACAGCTTGGCTTCCGACGTCTCTAATTATGCAACATTACTCTATATAGGCTTATTTCTATTCATTCAATTCGATACGTAATACAATTGTCTTTTTAAAATTCATTCACAGCAGAATATTTTACCGGCACCAGCACCGCAAAAACAAGAACCACAACCGCAATCAGATATTGAAAATGTTGTCAATATTCCGCAAACCCAAAGAGAACCACAACAGCCACAACAAGAACATTTAAATATTAAGCCCATAGAAACAGCACAACTTGCCAGTATACTTAATAATGATTTGAACAACGAAAATAATATAAATCCCAAACATTCAAATAATCCCGATGAAGATCGTACCTCCATAGAGGCTGCCCTACAAGATCCCACGGCACTGCCAGCATCGAATGGTGTAACAATTGAAGAATTTTTGGGTCGTATAGATTTGAAACATTTGCCGCAAAAGCAACATTTTCACGGACCGAATAATGAACGACAAGAAGCTGTGGTCAATGCATTCCGTCACTCATGGGAAGGTTATAAAAAATATGCATGGGGTCATGATAATTTGAAACCCATATCTGAATCATCGTATGATTGGTTTGGTTTGGGACTAACAATTATCGATTCATTGGATACCATGTATATTATGGGATTGGAAGATGGTAAAGATAATTATTTAATATTTTAGATTTATTTATAATTTTTATTTTTCAGAATTTGTGGAAGCTCGTAATTGGGTCAATGAATTTTTAAATTTCGATGTTAATCGTGATGTAAACTTATTTGAAGTTACAATCCGTATCCTGGGAGGATTATTATCTGCATATCACTTAAGTGCCGACAAAGTTTTTCTTAAAAAATCGGTATGTCTTATATAAAAATATTTTAAAATACAAAATCCTTCCCTGCTGGATTTACAGAAAGAAATTTAAATTACATTTATTTTTTTAAGCTATCTATGAAAAAAGTTGTTTAGGTTTTCATTTACAATTGTATTTTTATCCTTGATTAGATTGAGTTGGGTAATCGTTTATTGCCTTGTTTTCTATCGCCATCTGGTATACCATACTCCGATGTGAATTTAGCAGCATTATCAGCTCACGCTCCTAAATGGTCACCAGATAGTTCGACCAGTGAAGTAACCACAATCCAATTGGAATTTAGAGATTTAAGTCGCCTCACCAATGTTACCCTCTATGAAAGTGTAAGTAAAGATTTTTAATATATGTGAAAAATTGTTCAAATTAAATTTATTAAAGAATATTAAAATTACCTAAAAAAATCTACTAAAAACACGTTTATTTTGTAATTAGAATATATTAATAAATAGTTTGTATTATTCTTTGTAGGTTGCACATCGCGTTAACGAAAAGGTACATGCCCTCGAAAAGAATAATGGTTTGGTTCCGATATTCATAAATGCCAATACTGGAACATTTAGAAATTATGCCACCATTTCGCTGGGTGCCAGAGGGGATTCATACTATGAATATCTGGTAAAACAATGGATACAAACTGGCCACAAAGGAAATGATTTGTAAGATTCTTTTAATGACAAATAATGTCTTATTTTACTCACAAAATTTCTCTTTCTTCTCACACACAGCTTGGTTTCGGACTATATACAAGCCATCGATGGTGTATTCTCGCAATTGCTAAAACGAACTCCAAAAGAAAATCATGTCTATATAGGTGAATTAATTAATGGCAAAGAATTTAAACCAAAAATGGACCACTTAACATGTTATCTACCCGGTACATTGCTGCTGGGTCATCATTATGGTATGCCTGATTCACATTTATTACTCGCTAAGGATCTATTGGAGACTTGCTATCAAACCTATATGAAACAGCCAACACAATTAGCTCCAGAAATTTCCTATTTTGCTTTGACCGAAAGTGAAGAACTCGACATTTATGTTAAGCCAAATGATGCCCACAATCTACTAAGGCCAGAATTTGTCGAAAGTCTGTATTATTTCTATGCATTGACTGGGAATCGTACATATCAGGATATGGGTTGGAATATATTCCAGGCTTTCGAGAAATATACTAAAGTAGCTCATGGCTATTCATCGATTGGTAATGTTAAGAATATATTTAATACACGACCACGTGATATGATGGAAAGTTTTTGGTTGGGCGAAACCTTAAAGTATTTCTATCTACTCTTTAGTAATAATCCCAAAGAAATAGATTTAGAAAAATGGGTATTTAATACGGAGGCTCATCCCCTGCCCATAAGAGAAAATTAATTTAACAATATTAACAAAAAAACGCGTAGAAATGGAATACTAACATAAGTAATTAACACATAGCAAGTATCTGAAGTCTGAATATTAATGAATTTGTAAATACTTTACCATACATTCAGTTCAAAAATATGAATAATTATTATTTTTTTATTTAAGTACGTATCATCTTTTTTGTCTAAGATGTTTTGTACTAAATATGTGCTGTGCATAAAAAATACTAATGTAATGAAACAACTTAGATCCTCATTACAAGTAAACATCATAACTATATATATAATTTATTTATGTTAATAATAATAATAATGAATCTCTAATGGTAAACCAACTATATATCTGTGCTCTCTATCAAATATTGTACACGAGACATATTCAACTCTATGTACAATTTAGTAATTGTGTAGTGTGTATTCGTAGCTAAAATAGCACTAAATTACTTAAACAAAAACAAAAATCAATATGAACAGCAATGTATCTTTAATACCAAATAGTAAAGAGTAATAAGAAATCTAATCAAACACACAACCACAATTATTATACATATATTCGCTCATATTTAAATCTCATTTATGGCAATCTTATTTAAATCATCACAACAAATGCAAAGCAATATTATTTATAAAATCAATATCTTTTTGATGTATTTATATTTTATTATGGGTTTATTTCCTTTCACAGTGTCTCTACATTTTGTGTTTAAGAAGAATAAAAATACACCTCAAAATAAACAATCAAACGTAAATGGAAACAATAGAAAGAATATTTCTAAACTTTTTTTTTTTTTTTTGGTTTAAAAGTAATTTGTGTTCTATTATTTGCCGAATAAATCACATATACAATAGATTTTTCTTAATAAATCAACGAGTATATATTTTCTTTTTCTGGGCATCTATAATAAATTAAAGCAAATAAAAAATACGGATGTATTATATAAGGTAAGTTGTATTTAAAACAGGGTTTTATGCATTTATTTTGTATATGTATCAAGTTTGTATCATATGTATCAAATTAAATTTGAAAATTTTTTCTTGTTTTTGTACATATGTATGTAGGCTAATTAGTTATGATTTCGAAAGTGTTAAAATAGTTATAAAATATAAAAACTTAACACTTGACATTGACTAACAGTGAAAGAATCATGGAAATAGCTCAAATCATTATAATATAGCTGCTATGCAATGCTGGTCGCCTATTACCTCAAAATAGCTTGCCAACGATTTTTTTTTATGTCGCAAAAGCTGAAGTTGCTGGTCAATTTGGATGCACTAGAAAATGCCTTCAGAATGAATTTGAGGTACCAGGCGACCAGTACTTCGTAGCAGGTATACCACCACATAGGTTAAAATTTAAATGTCTATATATCGGCAGAGAGTGGAGATATTTTTAAGAATTTTTCAGTATTAGTTAGAGGAGACGGCGTAGTATTTTTTTAAGTCCATGAATCATAATACAGCTGCTACGCAATGCTGGTCGCCTATTACATCAAAATTACCTACCAAAGAAATTTTACTTTCCGTAAAATCTGAATTTTCAGGGCGATTTTTCGGCAACCAAAATTTCATCAAAATCACTTTGAGGCACCATAATTTGACACAAGATAAAATTCAAATACTTATATCTTCGCAATAAATGGAGGTATTTTCGTGAAACTTTCGTTATTAGTTCGAAGAATTTTTCTAGTTTTCCCTAGAGTTGATTTAAAACAAGTTCTTTTAATGCAAATTAGAAAATTTCTCATGTTTGATAAACGTTATCGAATAAGCTGCTTTATGAAACCGATATATAAACTCAAAGAGAGTAAATCCGAAATGATATGACATATTCTTATCAATATATGGCGCTCCGTTCGCAAAATTGTATGGTCGTAAAGGAAACTGAAATCGGTATATATAGCGGTATATGAAATGGAGTAAAAATAGCAGCTTCAATGGATCGATTATAAATAAAAATTAAAATTAAAGAAACGCGCAATGAACTTTCTTAACAAAACACGCATTCTAGTTATGAAATTCAATGATTTGAAAGCGTTGATCGTTTGTATGAGATTCATCGTTAAATTATGGACCAAGCTGAAGATGTATGCCAGAAAAACTAAACACGAGATGTGTGTAACTGTTAAAAACAGTGTTGTCAAAAAGATAATAGCTAAAAAATAAACTTTATAGGTGCAGAATTCCCTCTAACCATTGCTGCAAAATTCATAAAAATCGGTTAAGTATTTCCGGAGTTATTCGAATTTCAATTCTACCATGGTCCGAAATACACTTTCTGTTCGATGCTGGGCGCCTATTACCAAAAAATTAAAAACACCACAAAAATCGATCTTGCAAAAATGGAATTTTTTTCTTCATACAACAGCTACAGTGTGTGCATGTGTATGTGAATATATTTTACATTGCATATGTGCATAAATCACATGCAATCACACCTACATATTAAGCAACAAGAAATTGCACCTCGAACTGCCCATTGCCCCTACAAGTATGCTATAATTTTCATACAACAGCAGACATTATGAAAACAATTTTTGCCTTTTTTAAAAGACCGATTTTTGTGTGGTTTTTTATTTTCAGGTAATAGGCGACCAGAATCGAACAGGAGGTGTATTTCGGACCATCGTTGAATTCAAATACAAATATCTCGGCAACTACTAAACCGATTTTTATAAAGTTTCCAGATATGGTTAGAGGAAATTCTGAAGTTTTGTTACACACTGCCATTCCAGATTTTTACAATTATAAAGGGTGATATTTTAGCTATTATATTTTTGGAAACACTGTTTTTAACAGTTTACATATATTTCATGTATTGTTTCACTGCCAAACATTTTCAGTTCGGGCTATAATCTTTTTATAAAAATGTGTGCTCTGTTAAAATGGTTCACAGCCCGTTTCGTCAATGTTATGGCTGTATAATCGACCCAATCGACAAAAAAATTTGTGCCATAAGAAATGTAGGAAGTCTGACTATTTCGTGATTTAATTATAATTAAAATTTAAAAAAAAAATGAAATGTTTTATGTGAAAAATTTTTTAGAACCTTAACTAAGTTTTCGAAATAAAATTTGCCGTTTCCCTACCCATGACCAATTTTTTCAGGAAAGACAGGCCACTTACATTTGTGGTCCCTGGTATTTTTAATGAATCCAAGCCCACCCCGACCACCCACTACAGAAAATATATTTTTATCTAAACTCTAAATGTAATACCAAAAAAAAAAAAAAATTTTTAACAAAATCAGTCTTTTGAAAGCTTCCTAATTTTTTTTTTTTTTAATTTTAATATATAATTGTGGATTTTTTAATATATTTGTTTCATGCGGCTATTTCAATAAACATGGAACCGAGGTAAGATTATCGACAAAAATGGGAACCATCACCGTTTTTTATATTAACATTTCTTTAAATATTAAATAATCAGTCTTTGTGTAATTTTTTAGGATGCAACTATATTTAACCCTTTGTGGCCCAATGTTGCCCACAGGCAACAAAATGTTTTAGAGCTTATACAAAAATGGGAACCATCACCGTTTTTTATATTAACATTTCTTTAAATATTAAATAATCAGTCTTTGTGTAATTTTTTAGGAGGCAACTATATTTAACCCTTTGTGGCCCAATGTTGCCCACAGGCAACAAAATGTTTTAGAGCTTATATTAAATATGTAGCTAGTAGATATACTTTCTTTGGATTTCAAACGTCAAGACCTAATTATGGACGACACATAGCAAAAGAAAAATCTAAAAAATTCAATTTTTTGTTAAAGTTATGAGCTTCTCAATATAGAGAAGAGGGCAAAAATGTGTACAGTACTAATTTGTGTATACAGTCCAAATTATTTAAATCGCTTCGTATTCGAAATGTTCGAATTCTGCTTTGAGAATTATTTTTGATTCTTGTAAAACGTAATATAGAGAATAATTTAAAATGATTTTTTCGTCGATTTTTCATTTGGGTTTCTTGATATTGGGCTTTTATTTTTCAGAAAGAATGTACTGTATCTCCCGAATGCAAGGATGTAGCGATGTAAAATTTTGTCCATATCCTATCTAGGATAGTTGCATTAAATCTGTGAACAGAAAATTGTTCTATGATTACGGAAAAAATTCGGGGCTCAAAGGGTTAAGGACTACCAAATCAGTTATGTTGAATTTTTTGAAATCCATTTCCTGATATGAGATCAAAAATATTGTTCCGAATATCAAACTTAATACATGATACGGAGCTAAAAGCCCGAAGTTTGCCAATTAAATTTTAATTTGCTATCTACCTGTTCTGGATGACTGATTGACAATTTCTGAAAGAAAAAATCCAGCTGAGCCCCTGACGTCGTTCATCAATTTGTTCTTTTACACTACCATTGAATTAAGTACTATAAGTAAATAGTGTTATTTTATGTACCTTCTTCGTTTATTGAAATAAAGCAAATAAACAGATTTAAAAAAATACTAAATATGTGTTTCTATTTATGGACGTCTAAAAATCTCTTAGTGGGGGTTCACAATATTAGTTTCTTAGTCCAATGTCACAATAAGGGCAAAAAATCCCAAAAATTTTGCCCAAATTTACAAAAATACCAGGCGCCCAGAATGAAGTAGCACGTTGCCCGCCAAAAATAATAAATGTTCGAAATATTTTGGTCTGGCAACACCCAACCAGCAAAAAAAATTCGAGCGCCTAAAAGTATGCTACAAATTTTGTAATTTCTTAGTACGGCATTGCCAGATGCAATTTTTTAAATTTTTATTTTTTTTGGCGGGCTACTTTCTATTTTCTTCTGGGCGCCTGGTATTTTTGTGAAATTTGCACAAAAAATGCATAATACCAGGTGAATGAAAAATTGTGACGTCATCACAGAAATTATGTCGCATGCGTAGGGGCATATATACTTACCATATTTGTTGTATCCGTAAATAAAAACAAATAGTTTTTTTTTTGGAAAATTCATTATTTTTTATTTAATATTCTTTGTAAAAAATATAGACATACATTTAAAGAATATATTAAATAAAAATTTT